CTTTCTCTACACTTCACTATATGCTCCTGTGGCTTAGCTTCGTAAGTTTAGTAACATTTTGAAGTGTAACAAAAAGTCAAATGCTCTTAGGAGTAAGCCCTCGAAGCCTATTCCGAGTTTATCCTAAGTGAAAGTCGTGCCGCCAAATAGTAAAATGGTTCCATTCGCCTGGGCTGAAGGAGTGTAGTTTCAGGTCACCATTCAGAGTCTCTGGAACGCCTCTACTTGAATAACTGAATATTGGACAATTTCGTTTGAGAAAAAAATATTGCTTCTATTAAAATTGAGTGATGAGCGAGTACCAGTGCACTGGTCAACACAGTAGTGCACTGTGTTGACCAGTGGTAGAAGCTACTCCCTTCCTCCTCTCTCCCTCCCTCCCTCCTCTCCCTCCCTCCCTCCTCTCCCTCCCTCCCTCCCTCCCTCCCTCCTGTAAATGTATTTACACAAATGTAAATACATTTACAAATGTAAATACGCCTGTTGTGTGACTTGTCATGCAGTGTATGGTGGCCACTGTGCTGTTTGGACACAATACCAGCTTAGTTGTAAAGTTATGGTGAATAAAACATATAGATACTTATACATAACGTGTGTAAATAGTGTAATAAAAACAATAACAGTATGGTGGGAGGAGGACTGTTGGCGAGTGAGGGAGGGCTGGCTGGGTGTGGCAGCTCATTCTTCATTTTTAGGCTCACCATACCAACTTAGTGGTTCATTATGGTGAACACATGTGTAGATGGGCATATCAATGTGTGCATATAGTATAATAACAGTAAAAAAAAACTGATTGACCATAGAATATAATATATATGTAACATATATAAATCCCATAATTTTGAGCATAGCAATGTTCCACACTTTGAACTACTGTATATAAATTCCACAAATTACACAATTTTCAATAATATTACAGCAAAAAAACAGAGAAGAAACAAATGAGAAACATTAAAATAATTGTGAAACATTGCAGGACTGACTGACCCCGAGCGCTCCGTCACTCAGTGCCCATAATTTGCTCAACTTACCAGCTCCGTCACGGCTAAAGTATGTCACGCTAAATATATTTTTTTTAATTTCCCAGTGATCAGAGACTACATTTTAAAAATATAAAGAGATCAAATAATTTTTTGGAAAGAATTTATTTTCAGCACACCATAGGTGTGTTGTATTTTAATGCAGAGTAGTTCACTGGTTAAGATATGTGCACCGTACAGCTATAGCATATTCCAGCTTTGCCTTTCAAAGGTTGTGAACAATTTCTTTAGTACTTCACAAACCATGTATTTAAAAGCAATTCTGAAATTGGAAAGCATAGCATAGACTCCTCACACAATGTTCTTTATGTATTTGTCTCAGATGAGAATTGAAACCGGGTTCATGAACTGTGAATACCGAATGCTATTTGCTCGGCTACAAGATATCACGCTTGTTGCAAGTGCTTGAAGGTACAAGTGCACAGGGTTATCTTCCCTGTGTGATCCCTAGTGTTGTCCTTGTGCTGCCAGGGGTTTTCTTTCCTGGAGTGTTCAGGCGTTGCTCCCTTAGTGGTCCTCTCTGCTTGAAGTGACCATCGCCCAGAGTGAGTCGGATGTCTTGGGACGTTCCTGTGTCTTAACTTGTTTCAGGAGTGACATTGGCTGGTTAGGGGGCTCACTAGGTATTCATGAGCTACACTATAGTGCACCGAGGTCAGACTTTGCAGCCATGTGGACAGGATTTGGTTGGCTGATTTTGCTGTTTCTATATCTTGGTAATAGACATACATAGATTCGTATGACAAACTTCAACTAAAGGTCCGGCATAGCATCCCAGTGCCTGGGTGTCATTCTTGGTCAATTCCTTCAGGCCGTAGAAATCCCTTGCAGGTTTGGTGGTTCTGTCTCAGACCCTCTTGGAATATAACCAGTCTGTCAATCGGGTCAACCCAAGTGTTGCGTTTCCAAAAGGGTCGCCCATGTTGGAATCGGTGAACGCCCTAGTAATATTGTTGAAAACATGTAAATAACTTATTAAACCAAAGGTCTTTTTATGTCAGAAGAACGGCAGAAACTGGATCTATATATGAAAACTCTTTCAGGACAAAATTTAAAGTAAAACTAAAGATATTTGTAGTTGTATAAAAGTTGCATTTTTCATCGGTCGTAGAGCTGGAAATCTGCAATATTCATCTCAGAACATTACTTATTTCACGCAGAATCGTTAATAAACGTAAGAGGTTTATACGTCTCAAGAAAGATAGAAACATAATCTTCATTTTAAATGCCTTACCATGGGCATATTTGTATTTAAAGCAAAGATACGTGTATTTTTATAATCGGCGAGCTCCGATCCCGCACAGATCGAGCAACGGAGTAACTCTCTCTCAGAACAATGCTTATTTCACGTAAATTCGTTAATAAACACAAATGTTTTATATGTCTTATGAAAGATAGAAATATAAGCTTCATTTTAACTACTTTACCATAGAAATATATAAAATTCTAATGAAGATACATGTGTTTTAATAATCGCAGAGTTCCGACCCCGCACAAACTGATCGACAGAGCAACTCTCTCTCAGAACAATGCTTATTTCACGTAAATTCGTTAATAAACACACAGTTTTATATGTCTTAAGAAAGATAGAAATATAAGCTTCATTTTAAATACTTTACCATAGACATATATAAAGCTCAAGTGAAGATACATACGTTTTTATAGTGGCATTCAGTAGCTTGTCGGTCATGGAGTGCAGAAGCCTACGCACTTGCCAATATAGTGTGTAATTAACAAGGATACGCTTATAAAGCCTAAAATATTATATGCCTTCAGAAAGACAGAGATATGCTCGTTATTGTGAGTGCACCAAAGGAAAAATATTTTGTTGGAGGACAAAGATATATCAATTCTAAAATAAGTTTCGACTCTGGATATTTCCCCGGAACCTGTTCTCACTTCGCGCGAGTTTGAGGATTGCACGTCATCTGTGCCATGTGTTGTTCATTCCTTCGGAATCTGCCATGCAGCCTTTTGGGTTCGGTGACATCTTCGACTCTGGGTCATGGGGTTTGTTCTCCCCATGTCGCTCTTCTTTCTAACCCTCCTGAAAAAGTCACAGCTTATCAGGCAGTGACTGCTTTGCCTGCAAGGTTTTCTAAGTTGTAGCATTCTAGATTGTGTGCTTAGAGGTGCCGAAGCTGCCATGTTTGGTATTTGGTGGCATGAAATTGGAGGTATTTGTAAATTCTACCTTGGTTCCATATGCACCTCCTCTTTCTTTCCCTTCAGGTGCTCTTTGCCCTTCCTCTGATCCTCCCTCCCATCACTTCTGCCCCCAAAGCATCCGAGGGTTTCAGGGTCAGTGCAGGGTTTAGCTTGGGCTGTGGCTCAGCTAGCACCAGGGGAAGGGGTACCCTTTCTGTCTCGGGCACAGAGGCAGTTGAACCTGCTAGTCCTACCAAGGCTTTCGAGTTTTCCTTTCAGCCAGCATCTTCTTCCTTTGTAGCCTTTCCCTTGGCTAACACTTTTCTATCCCCAGACAGTGAGCAAGGACACTGGCTTTACTCTGGGGCCCTCTGCTGCAGTTCTGGACTAGTTCTGGATGGGACTAGTTATATTCCCTCACAACTTTGTAATTTTTTTGTCTATTTTATGTTTTTGCCTCCCGATTGCTGACCTAGAGAGCTTGCAGAGATCCTTTACTGCTAGGATCCACTCAGTAAAATATCTAAACTATTGGGACTAAATAAAAATGCCTAAATCTGTATTCTCTGGAGCATAGGTGGGAGATGTACATAATAATTTACACATGGAAAATATTAGAGGGGCTGGTCCCAAAGCTGCACACAGAAATAACACCACATGAGACCAGAAGGCATGGCAGGATGTGCAGAATACTCCTGTTGAAGAGCAGAGATGCAATAGGTACTCTGAGAGAGAACTCTATTAATATCAGAGGCCCAAGACTTCCCAACCAGAAGAAGGTATGTTGGGCCCAGAGGCTCAACATACTTCCACCACACATAAGGGGCATAACTAGCTGACCCCCCTCGCAGTGTTCAAGAGAGAACTTGATAAACACATCCAGTGGTTACCTGATCAATCAGGCTGAGATTCATACGTCAGGCTGCAAGCAGCCACGTCCAACAGCCTGGTTGAACAGTCCAGCAATGAGGAGGCCTGGTCGATGACTGGGCTGCGGGGTCGCTAAGCCCCGAAAGCATCGCAAGGTAACCGCAAGGTAAGGTAAGGTTGTCCAAAATGCTTTGTGTAACAGTGGCTTCATAGATTGTGCAACTCCTCTCTGTACAATTTGTACATTACCTTTTTGTTCTTTGTACGTACATTCTTTTCAATAAAATTGTACTGTATTGGAGCTTAAGGAGAGTCTGATACGGGCCCTTTTTTGACATTTTGCGGTTCTTGGTTCCTTCTGAGGAGGGTTTTCTTTTGCAGGGAGATGGATTTTAATATCCCCCCCTTTCTGTATGAGTATGATTTGGTTGCAGTTCCTCCCTTGGTTCATTCTGCATGCTTTTGAACCCATCGGGTTCAAAAGCATGCAGAATGGGAGAGACTTCTTACGTGCCTCTTGAGGGACCCGGTTTATACCTTGCTGATGGACCCTTGATCTTTTGAGTTTGGGTCTTCTTCCCAGTATTGGATATGCTATGGGGTTCCAGAGTCTTCCTGGCTGGTAGACTAACCATTACAGTATTTTTGCTTGGAGCTTGGCTCGGCTTTTGTTGTATCCCCATGCTACAACTAGAAAATACTGGAACGATATTTATCCTTTGATCTCTATGCCATAGAGATTGCCATTGTGGCTACAAGTGTCACATAGCTTCTGGTTTTGAAATGTGGGCCTCCAGTATTTGGCATCTTCAATTTGTAATATACACCTCATATAAGGAATGCATTTATTATTATTATAAATGAAATAACTTCAACTTACCAGTATTGTTAAACTTTTTTTTATTTATTTTTCCCAAAGTTTATTGTGTGAAATGTTTACAGGTGTGGTGGGTGTATGTGAGGTTAGTATGGGCAGGCTACGACGAATACATGACTTGTGGAAGTGGTGGCGAGCGCACTGGCAAACGGTATCCATATTTCCCCGAACTTCCTTGTGACATTAACAAGAACAGCTGGTGTGAGAGTGCCGGCACCCAGTACCCATGGTAAGTGTACCTTTTTAATGTTTACCACCAGTGGTAGCTAGTTTATTGTGTAATACATACACATACACACAGTACTCAACTAGGTGAGTACACAGAGGAATCATATTATCGTGATATATCAATGAACAAATCCACAGAGCTGTGATGAGGGTTCAAACCTATGCGCTGGGTGTTCCCAAGCACACTCTAGTCGACTGCTAAATGACATGGTCAAAAGAATTTCAACCTGGGGTATTACTGCACCCACAATGATCCCGTGGCTTCCAGTGAAGCCAAACTAGGGTTTCACACAATTCCCCCATGCACTCGGGGGCAGTAGTACCCCAGGTTGCAATTCTTTTACCATGTCGTGGCATAGTCGACTCGAGCGTGCCTGGGAACACCCAGTGCATAGGTTCGAACCCTCATCACGGCTCGTGTGGATTTGTACATACTCATCCTGTGAGCAGTAATTTATTTTGCACCAAAAGCTTTTTCATGGATTAAAAAAGTCACTTAACTGGTGCCGTGCAGAGCATCGTTTACTGAGTGTGCAGAGATCATTTACTGCTAAAATCCACTTAGCAAAACATCTAAACTAATGGGACTGACTAAAGAGCCTAAATCTGTATTCTCTTGAGCGCAGGTGAGAGAGTTACATAATAATTTACATGTGGAAAATAGTAGAGGGGCTGGTTCCAAACCTACCTTACCTTGCCTTGAGGTGCTTCCGGGGCTTAGCGTCCCCGCGGCCCGGTCGTCGACCAGGCCTCCTGGTTGCCGGACTGATCAACCAGGCTGTTGGACACGGCTGCTCGCAGCCTGACGTATGAGTCACAGCCTGGTTGATCAGGTATCCTTTGGAGGTGCTTATCCAGTTCTCTCTTGAACACTGTGAGGGGTCGGCCAGTTATGCCCCTTATGTGTAGTGGAAGCGTGTTGAACAGTCTCGGACCTCTGATGTTGACAGTTCTCTCTCAGAGTACCTGTTGCACCTCTGCTTTTCAATGGGGGTATTCTGCACATCCTGCCATGTCTTCTGGTCTCATGTGATGTTATTTCTGTGTGCAGGTTTGGGACCAGCCCCTCTAATATTTTCCACGTGTAAATTATTATGTACCTCTCCCGCCTGCGCTCAAGGGAGTACAGTTTTAGGCTCTTTAGTCGGTTCCAATAGTTTAGATGTTTTACTGAGTGGATTCTAGCAGTAAAGGATCTCTACACGCTCTCCAAGTCAGCAATTTCTCCAGCTTTGAAAGGGGCTGTCATTGTGCAGCAGTACTCCACTCTAGAGAGCACAAGCGTTTTGAAAAGTATCATCATCGGTATAGCATCTCTAGTGTGAAAAGTTCTTGTTATCCAACCTGTCATTTTTCTTGCAGTTGTGACGGCTACTGTATTGTGTTCTTTAAAGGTAAGGTCTTCCGACATGAGTACACCCAGATCCTTTACATTGCCTTTTCGTTCTATGTTATGATTTGCCTGAGTTTTGTACGTGGTTTCCATTTTTATATTTTCATTTTTTCCATAGCGCATGAGCTGGAACTTATCTTCGTTAAACACCATATTATTTTCAGTAGCCCATAGAAAGACCTGATCTACATCTGACTGGAGGTTTGCCGTGTCCTCTATGTTGCCTACTCTCATGAAGATTGTTACGGCCCTCTCGGGACGCAACAGGGTTCTTACTCTGATGTTGTTAGAGGAAGTTGTATCCGACCCCAAGCCAGTAGTGGCTTTCTAGGGATGTGATCCTGTAACGGGGGGTGGGGGAAATAGCTCTATCTTGTCCATTATTCCACCCCCCAGTTAACTAACGAGGCCGGGGGAAACAGCTCTCTCTAGTCCGTTATCCCGTCCCCAGTTAGCTAACTATTCTAGAACACCTCCAGAGTTCCTAAGGCAACCTCTCTCGTAAAACACCTTGTAACCTAGGTATTTGACTACCTAGGTACTAAGACTACAAGGCGTCGTAACTGGATCAGCTACCCGAAACTCTAGAGAGAACTCTAGAATACAAAATCATTGCCACAAACGTAAAAGAGATAACGAAAGGAAAGAAATGCATAGTGAAGTAATTAGTGAGGGTTTGGGGTGAGAGGGAGAGAGGTGGGAGGAGCGAGGAGGGTCATTAGTTGAAAGTGAGAGTTTAGAGAGGGGTGGAGGGAGAGGTGTAGATAGGTAGAAGGAGAAGAGTAGGTAGTAGAAGAGTAGATAGTAGAAGACGAAATGCTGCCACCATCCATTCATGATCATTACATACAAGACAAGGAATGGAACTTGCCTGTATCACAAAATATTCTCAAAAGATGTTATTACCATGTATCAACTCCAAACATGTACTCATTAATATCTTGAATCTAGTAACCACCGAGGCTTTCTCACCTCAACTCAATTCTCTAGGGAACACAGTGAAAGACCATTTAAATAATAAATTCAACAATTATATTTTTCATGATAAGTATCATAACTTAAGCAATCCAAGTAAAATGTTAACGATTAATATTCAAAGTGAGTCATCATCCAAGAATTCGAGAACCCTACAACTTGACTGCCCCTGATCATCACACAACATATGTAAACACGACCAAGTCACCTTACTGTTCACTCACCGAGGACTGAGTCTAAGTTGAATAGAGAGGGGGGGGGGGGTCTGCAATTTTCAGGCAGCGTCACCCCCCGTCTGGTGACGGCCTATCTCGACGGCTGGCCTCTGCTCTGCTCCGCTGGCCGGTCTCCTATTGCTTCATGCTCGATAGCTCTCCGAGTTTATATTGGGGAACCTAGTAGCTAACTCCACCCACAAGTAGATAGCCTCCGGCACTACCAAGCCACTCCTTAAACGACGGCATGTTTGAAGGCTACCCGGCTCCAATTATACGCTTAGCGGAAGCAAGGTGAAATTCTCATGATCTGACCTCAGGTCACTTGGGGTCGTTAACGGTTAGAGGTGTGAGATCTCAGGCAGACAACTGGCGCCTCTCCGATCCTTGTCTGTGACTCATGTACTCTATGTATGTATTAACCTAAACCAAACACTTTTACAGTGTTACAATCCGTGACGCAAGTAACTTAAAGGGGAAGGGAAATAAAGTCAAGAACTTAATATAATATATTGACCACCACCAATAAATAATATATAAAAAGATTACACGGGGGGAGGGGTATTAACACTGTACACAAACGTCTTCTCCTGAAGACTCTGGATCCAGGCTCTCGGTGCTAAGTCTTCGGTGCTTTCGTGGCCTCACAACGAATCCTTTGAGAAGCTGAGCCTACCCTGGCCACAGGTCAGCCAAAACACAGGTCCACTGGGGGCACCGCCGTGGAGGCCGTCAACCACAAGTCCAGCAGGTCTGCTGGCAGGTTCCGGATCAGCAATGCTGGTCAGGCCACTCCACGGGCGATACTAGGGCAGCGCCCTAGTCAGGAGCCTCGTGTGATACCACAAATCACTCTCCTGTCCTCAAAACCCCAGTGGATGATCGTCTCCAGCAGTCGGTCCCGGGTAATCCTTCTACTGCCACTCCACTGGCAGGGTAACACCACAGTGTTCTTCCGGGGGACGACTTCACAGCTGCTGCAGCAAAGCACAAGGTATGGAGACGGCTGCCTTGGGTAGACTGACTCAACTTCCATCACAGCAGTCCCAAGTCGACTCTGTAAGCAGACACGTCATCAATAACAGGGACACTAAAACACCTCACTTACAGGCTCAGACACAAACGCCCGACATATCCACTCCATAGATGGCGTTGTAGTCTGAGCACCACCTCACCAGAGGTCAGCAGCGGCGGTGTTGTGTGCTGAACAGGACTGGAAACTGGCCCTTGTGGCCAGTACACCTTGTCCTCACCAGGTGTCGTCATCCATTTGGTGGGGGTTTCGGGAGCCGACCCACAGATGGCGCGGTTGTCACTGCTCCGTGCTCGGACGCTGGATCCGGGTTCGTAACACCTCCCCACCAAAAAGAATTTGGTTTGGGTTTCTAGAAAGAGAATTACAAACCAAATTAGTACGATGACACAACTCCAAATGGACTCACTTATACCGTAAGCTGGAACGGCGAGGCTGTCTCGTCCACAGAGCTGTACTAAGGAGAAACCCTGGCACAAAGGGAACTTGAAAATGGCAGGCGATGACCTGCCTGACGTAATCTTCCACGTCTCCACTGCGATGTCAAGCAGGGGCATCATCTCACATCTCTCGAGTAAGGATCGGCGTAGACACGATGAGGGGCGACTCGACACTTCCCTGTGTCGTGGCACCGATGATGGCTGGTCACAGACGGCATTTCTGGTGCCGGTCCGGTAGTCCTTCAGGGAGACAGGAACCTGGAATACAGGGGTCTGATAATTCAGAGTGACAGCGACAGTGGGCAAGACAGTACTTACTACATACTCGTCTACTAGGCCCACACCTAGTTCCAACAGGGCTGCTTGCACACCGAAGATGGCATTCGCTCTGCCACCGTCAAGTCGACCAACGTTCCGCATAACGCTGCATTGAGGCTCAGCAATCACGGGGGGGGTGTCAACCTGCCGGAAACAGTCACTCATAATATCACATGTCGTACCTCCTGTATCAACCATCACCTTCCAGGTTCCTTCGTCGACTGCAACACTCGCAGTACACGTCTCTAATCCCTGGGATCTCTTCACGATGTTCAAGGGAGCCATCATCCTTCGGGTCGTCCACTGATCCTTACCGAGACCACACACGAGAATAAAACAAAATACTGCTAGGAAACATTTGGTCACCTGAGGGATAAGCTTCCTGAGCCTGTAATGTCCATAGCCGGCTATATCCACTAGCCTGGTTTGGACCAAAGAGGGCACTAGACCTTTCGAACACACCTCACATACCTCTGACGTCTGGGGAATCTCTGGCCGGTTCAATGAACGCTGTACAATGCCATACCGCAAGTACACATCCGCCTTCGCTCCAGACTTGTTGGTATCCGTGGGTGCCTGCACACAAGGCCTCTCTTCTTGCTCGGGTACTCCTGCCATCGTAACCTC